CGAAAAGAGCAAGTGAAGTTGAACCAAATTGAACGGTTCGTCAATACTTAGCGCGTTAATTTGATGCCAAGAAACGATAAATGGTGAAGAAAAAAGAAATTTGTCATCAATTTGAGCATCATAGCTACCCATAATAACCTTACTGACGCGCACCAAACGACTGTTCAAGGCACGCATAGTATATGGTCACCGACTTTGTCTAAATTTAAAAGCAATATATATGATAAGAAAAAAATAGTACTATATTCATACCCAAGCACAGTATTTTTGCATAGATGGCGAAAGACAGACAAAATTTCGTTCATCCGTCGCACTGTTAAAGTTGTAATACAGTAACTACTTTTATCCAAAGATAATTCTAGCTCGATTGGTACTCGTTCTTTTAGTTGTTGAAACGTGTCTAACAAGATGGTACTTGCATTCGATAGCGGCACTATAATCTGCACATACCACTAAACATGTAGTGAATATAAATATTGATCGGAAAGCATCGATATTAAATTCTGAACAACATGAGGACTAGTTAACTTCGCCAATAATATGAAGTTCGTCAATAAAAATAAAACATCATGCTCAAACAATTGATCAATTGCTGTCAAAGGTACGAGATAATTATTGCAAGTTATTTTAAGACGGCGTAAATTCGGAGCAAGACGTTTATTAATGGAAGAAGATCCACTAAAATAGATAAGAAAAAACACTTTATAACAGCAGAATATCCATGAAAGATTAGTCTTAAAAGTTTTAGTGAAACATACTCTTTTCTTTTATTCATCTATACTAAATCGCACGTCAGTATTCTTTCAATATACAATATCCTATGCTTTTTTCTTCAAAATATTCTTTTTTTCTAGTGCAGAAACGATGGAGTTTTTTTTAAAAACGAAAAAAAACTTACATACAACAATTTTTCTCATCTTATAATCATGTTTTCAAATGGTGACAGAACGAATTTCTCAGCATGTTCACTTCTTGTCGTGGTTTAATCTCAGTTACACTCACACTTATTTTGAAGTATTTCTATTTTTGACATTAGGTATATTATCTACATGGCTGTTTTTTTTTTTATTTTCCATTAAAGTACTTATCTGTTGATTAATGTTAAATATATCATACTGTTGACAAAAGAGTTATGAAAATCTAGAATAAGGCTCATAGTAGAAACAGAGAAAGTATTTCAAGACAACTATGAATACATTGTCATAGACATTCTGCATCCATTTTAGTAAGATAAATTTTTCAAATGTGATGCTTTCCATTGTAAATTATTTTCTAATGTCTAGAAGTTTTCATCTTTGCATTTCACTGAAACATTTTTCAAAAAGAAACGCCTCAATATTGCAATTCATTTTACAGCATATTCTAGCATTGCCTCGAAACCTGATTAACTTTTATTTTACAATAATTTTCAAACCTCCATTTTCATGTTGACTATACTTGATTTTTTATCTCATGTCAGAAATAAATGTCAACGCAATCATGTTAGAGAAATCATTGCGAAAATTTTTCTTTCGAAGAATAAATCAAAAAATGTCACGGTTACAAACTCAAATATTAATGGGACAGACTGTTCTATCATCACTACAACCAGAAAAGTTCTATCATCATTCATGAATAGAAACTTCATTCACAATTGCACATAAGAGTTCATAATTTTGACAACTTCTAATAAATTTGCTCGTCTCTATTGGATTCATTTTTTTTTCACACCTCAACTCTCTCAAGTTTATCTGCTGAGATTAATACTTAATGTAAAAACTGAATAAAAATTATTGAAAAAGTATATTATTGGTTCAGAAACAACTCAGTTTCAGTCATACTTTTTTATGATAAAATAAGTCAATATAATTCCTGACTTAATACACCTTACAATAAGATCAAAATTTTGAACGCACATGATTTAAAACAAAGAGACTTACTTGTGTTATGACCATACATTAGTGGATATTTATCACGTAGCCAAGGACTACTCAGTTCAAAGATGAGCTCTTGCAATTGAGGAAGATGTTCAAATAATTATGACAGAAAACCTAGGAAACAATGTCGAAGTACAATTGATTGTAAGTTCAAAAGACTTGTTTCAATTGGCATGAAAGTTTTACCAAGTGGCAGAATTATTTGACGATCAAGAGTTTTATATATGTACCTACAGAAACGGAGACGACACACATATAACAAAGGAAATAAGTGAAAGATTCGTTCATAATACGCACCTTCAGGCACATCTTCAAATGTATAAGCAGCACGATAGTAAATTGGAAAATGTACGCTAAACATGAAGAGAGATGTGTTGAATATCAATTCAAACGAAGAACGCTTAATGTCAATTAAAGATAAATGACGAAGAGTGATGAAGGTAGATAAACGTTCAGCTAACCATAATCCATTATCAATAGCTAATGTATCTAACACACATAATGATATATGGCGATTAGAGACGTTTGATTGCGATAAATGTGCATCATAGAATTCAGTCAATGTTATATTCATTCCATTCAGACTCAAATAAACGCGAATAAATGACATATTACTAACGATAGCAGCAAATCGAGAATTGAGATTCGCAAAAACATTGAAAACTGCATGAAACTGGGCATAAATAAATATTTCGTAGAGCAACTCGACAGAGAGATGTTCAAGTTGTTGTTGTCATATTTAGTCTTAGTATCAAGCTATTGAATGTTATGAATTATTCTTATTTAATAGTTTCATAAACAATAGTACAAAGCGTTATTGTTCTTTCAATCGTGCGTCGTCGCAATAAGACGATATTGTTATTCATCAATCTCATAGGTCAACAAATAACCAATTTTTTTTTCTTTTCTTTCGTTCAGTGTTGTCCCTCAGCATTGATTATTAGCGGTGTCATTGAAATGTTTTTTTTTCGACAATTATTAATAATTATTTGTGGTTATGCAGAACTGATCTTTCTAACATATGTTTTTTACTATCAGGTCTAATTCATTGACTTCAAATGATCATCTATTTCATTGCTTAGAATGGGTGTGGATGTGAGAATAATAAAACTGCTAGGTATGCCTACAGCCATCCTACACCCACGCCAGCATTCACCCAGTATTTCATCGATTTAAAACGCAGTTAATCTTCATGTATATATTTCTTGTAATCATTATCGTCATTAGGTTGATTTTCTATCCAGTTACTTAACTTTTCATTCTCATCAAGTTGTTTCACTGAAAATTAATCATAGAATTATTGTTCGACGAAATATTGTTGCATTTCTATTCAATTGACATCCTTTTCTCAATCTTCGTTCATGCACATTTTACTCAGTTTCATCATTGTTCAAACTTCAAGCAGCCATTGATCAACTTGCAGGATTAAACTAACTCGTGTCGTTTTGTTGAATTCATACATATTGCTTAAAGATTCTTTTCTATCTCATCAACTAGAACCATTCGGACTTAAAATATATTCCAAAATGAATTATGATAAAAACCTATGAAACCTTTTTCACAACACGCCTATCAAATAGAGACAATATACATATATATATATATATATATATATTTGAATTAGTCAGTAGCTTATAAATGCATTGCTCATCGAATATATTATTCACTTTTCTTTGTTAACACTGCCTGAGAAGAATATCTTGGCTGGAGACAGTGTTAGAGGAAATTATAATCGTCCAATACGATCGTCACAAGTGTTATATGCGTACGAATATATGCAAAATTTCTCATACATATACTTTGTATCGGCTTGTGCATTCCTGAAGATATTGAGCCATGTTTCAAAAGTAAGTACATTTGAAAATACGTCATCCTCACATATATATTTTGTCTTTTATAGAACAACGAACGATAGTTTCTAAACAATTAAATCACAGATAGATAGCTCGTGTCGACGAGTTACCTAATGAACTTTTATTCATCATTTGACGTTATCTAAAACCGATCGATGTATTGAATGCTTTTCTTAAATTAAGCCACTGTTATTCGATATGTATTTCTGATTATTATACATGAATCAATTCAAAGTATTCTTATATGGATATACAATATTTTTTTACTGAATTTCCCACTCGACGAATTTTACCATCATCACTAATAATTAGTAATAAAATGATTTCAAATCAAATTAGCACTGTCTTTTCAACAAAACTAACAATAATGGAATGTTCTGATTATACACATGCTCAGCAACTACCATTGGTCGATTGTAATCAATACGAAATGGGAATGATCAATTGGTATGTGAAACCATTTTCTTCTTTACAAACATTTTGTCTAGTTGAAAATATATCGAAAGACAATTTTATTCAATGACCCATTTAACACATGAACTACTTCGTGAAATAGTTTTTGGTATGAAGTTTACTAAACTTACCAAAATTGAATTGATAGTAAACAACGGGCATAATTCTTGATAAACAATTACATTCGAATTTGCTTCTCAAACGATGAACTATTTTATTACGAACAATCGACGATCTTTTCGTTCTACTTGATCGTCTTGTACCTAATTTGATTGAATTTGATGTTACTTTATGCATTAGTCATGGCGGTAACCGATTATTATTACTATTTAAATCGAATATTTTTCCAATGGTTCATGTAACAAAATTTCGTTTGACTACGAAACAAGAAGTAGAAATAACATATGAATATTTGTTCAATATTGTCAAGTTTCTTAGTCAAATCGATACATTGATAATCGATATAAAAAGTTGGGCCCATTCTGATTATATATTTGTACAGAGTCATCAAATTGAAATGATTATTGATCAGTTCATGCCTCGTCTTCAACATTTCTATTGTCATATTCGAACGGAATGCTATATTGAGGTGACGGTCAGTGTAATCTGTTTCATGAATATTATTGCTAATCATTACTTGGCTTTTTTTGAATCTACACTTTTGTTGGATTTAATCAACGATGACAAATTGCATGTGAAATATCGGCCAACAATTTTTACTGCCATTTGTATACAGTACCTTAGTCGTTCAAACAATTGAAAACATCCATGTTGGCCAATGAGGATACGATGTGCATTTGTCCCAAATGTTCTTGATCTTACAGTTGATAAACCATGTTCAAGTCTATCTCAACGCTTTCCGAAAGTCAATACGCTCACAGTTTTATGCAAATGTGAGTTTAGTTCTGGTAGTGTTCCTCAACTTCGTCATCTTAAAACTAGAAATATAGAAGTTGTTTCAATAATTGGACAACACATTCATACATTGACATTAATTGAAAAGTCTGGATGTTCTACGCATTCGACTATTTATCCAAATATACGTCATTTAACTCTTGACAATATTCAAATATCTTCATTGCAAACCATTATGTTTCTCGTACGATATTTTCCAAATCTTCGTTCACTAAAAATTCAATTTACAATGAGCAAAGAATATTTTGATAGTCTCGATGTATTACTTGATAATCAACATCTTTCTCATCTCATGCTACTTAAAACAAACTGGATCGATAGAAATAATAATGTAAAGCCCGATATCAATTCCTGGATTATTGAAAAAACAATATTAAAATGGCGATCGAAAACCATTTGTGGCTTTTCATGAAGATAACAATTGGATTGTTTGGCTTTGAAATTCATCAAGTTCTCTATCAGATACAAAGACAAACTTTTCATTGAACATATGTTCAAATATTCGATTTCGATTTGATGTTCATTAGCCATGTATCATACTTATTATTCATCAATAACATATATATAGTTATGTTCTTTTGCTAGTGTACAAATCTTTCGTTATTCGCAAGGTAATCAACTGTTATTTTAGATCGTACCGAACAAGCAAATTCTAAGTCATCGCATAGAAAATATAAGGAATTTTTGAGAATCTTCCTTTTCGAAGAATATCAAACGTTTATGCAAACATGTGTCAACGTTACATCGGAAAGATAAACAATGCACTATTACATCACGAAAATACCTTATAGAACTTTTTTACTATCTTGTGAAGCTTCTTGTCTGTAAAAATATTTTCTTTACATGTGAAAAAAACATCACTATAGAGTGAAAAAACTGTTGAGATATTTTCGTAATATAATAGTAGGTTGTTGTAACGTTTTCATGCATTATCCAGAAGAAATATGTTTACGAAATAAGCATCAAAATAGCCATTTCATGTTTCCATGTTGAATATTTGAATCCATTTTCGAAAAAAGTTTGACTGTACAGGTAGCAGATGTCTCCGTTCTGCGATAGCCAGAGTTGTTTGCAGTGTTCAATCGTCCCTATCATGTGATCTGTTTTGAAAGAACTATTTCCAACTTGTTTTTGATCTTTTTTAACCAATATGTCACCTTTTATTACTCCGAATTGTCATATGGGTTGCGTAAACACAATTGACAGATTGCTTTGTTAATGCTTGACATAAGAGAAATAATGATTTATCATCGAAAACATGCGTTTCTATATGTGTAAGAAAGAAACGAAACGATCGGATTAGTATTTTTCTACGACGATAGGTTCAAGAAAAAAGTAAATTCAAATTAGAAAAGTACACGTATTATACAGGATTTTTGTTTCATTAAAAAATCGCTTAATTGGTCGATTCAGAGTCCATTTGCTAAAACCTATACTGCAATCAAACTCGAATTTGGCTTAGAAGATCATCGACTGTTGTCTGTTCGATAAATACGAATCGAATCGATACACAATTCGATCATCTGAAGATATACCAGTGCAGATCGATTGTCAGTGTTTGATGATAGTAATTGCACTCCGAACTTCATAACTATACCTAAGTTGCTCTTTCAACTCTCACTATATACCGATTAAAAATGAGAAAGTCCAAAAGGTAATTCAAAAAAACAGAGGAAAAAAATCCATTTTACTCTTTTTTCTTGTTTGTCTAAGACACATGATAATTTTCTTTTGCCACTCGACGGGGATGTTTAGATGTCATAGAACAATGAATTACATGATAACCTTGTACAATAGAGGATTAGTCAAAATCAGGGGGGGGGGGCAACCAATTAAGTAATTTCTTGAGGTCTCTCTTCTCCTTCTCGTTAAATATTGCTATTTTCAAGCAGAAAACACTGATCAAGAGAAAGTTCGTTTTAGACCTGTTTATGAAACTAGCCATGAGCAAAGTCTGATCAGTTGTCATAGTAGCACTAACTACAAGAAGGTATGAGTCGAAACATGAACTTTATCAACATATAACTTGAAAATCATTGCACATAATGATAGATATTGAACTTTATCTGATGATTCTCTCTTTCTGTACATCTACACTGAATTGTGTAGTTTCTTAACTATGAATATTAATACAAAACGACTGATGCATTTCAAGATAAGATGCAATCAAAGAAATTAAATATAGACCTTCATATGAGTGTGGATTTGTGTTCGAATTTCCACATACAGTATCCGAGTGTCTTTCTTATTCATATACTCGTGAAGTCGAGAATGAATACCTGAAATAGACGAGTGTGAGTGCTGGTTAAGACAAGAGACTAGCACCCACATCCACACCTACACCCTGCAAAGTATGATTTTTTAACAAAAATATCGAGTTTCTCAACAAGAAAACAATAGTTTTCGTAAGTATATAACGATCGAAACTGAAATAAATATTTAGAGAATTACTGAGACTTATGATTTTTTTCATTTTTATAGTTTTTTCTGATTCTTTTTAATCCGCTTTGCTAAAGGTTCGTTACAAAAATATCGTCACAACATGTTCAAAGAAATAATACAAGAGGTAACTGGACAAGTTCTATTAAACCATGGTATAAAAGACTTCTATCCGAATTTCGATGTGTTGACACCTTCAAAATAATTAATCTAGATAATGAGAACTACCTTTCTGAACAAGTAGAAATCAGTGTTTAGGTGAATTTTTAACAGAAGATTTATCGACGAAATATCTTAACTCATATTTTTCTTTAATGTTGTCTAAAAGAAATTGAAAAACGGAAAAACGTAATATGATTATATATAAAAAAAAACATCATGATTAAAACAAAAAGATAAAAATATCTTTTACCTATAGAACATTTGATGTCTAACGATTGTAATCCAAAACGAATGACAAGCGATTGAAGTCAATTTAATAAAGAAAATAGAATCAAAACATGTATTACGGTAAATCTTCATAGAAACTGAAAACAACGAATAAATAAACAGAAGAAAGTACATGTTATTAGGACTGTTGTACACATACAAAGGCAAATCCAAGGTAAAATTATTAAATATGAACCATTTTAGCATATAAACCATGAAGACAAGAAAAGCTCGATAAGACAAGCAGCGGGAACAATTCTTTAATGTGTGTTGTATTGGGATATATGTTTGATCTTTTATTTACATTGCCAGTCGTTCTAATTTAGTATTAAAAATTTTATCTTCACTGTCTTATGTTTAATTACTAATGGATGTTTAATATTTTGTTTCATGATTCAAATATGCTGGTTGCTGCTTTCCATTCTTAGATGTTACTCTATTTTCAATATTTGTTGCTGCAAAGATTATTATCGAACCAAATACAGTTGATTCTACGAAAAAAAAGAATTAATATTTAACTCTCGCAGTCAATGTTTTTTTTTCACATAGGTCTAAATAAGAAGGAGATTTTGTTTAAAATTATTTAACCCACCTCCTTTCACTTTTTTCATCATCCCATTGATCAAGTAATGAGAGAAGAACATGACGTTGAATATTATTTGATGGTGTAGATGTGAGTGAGGGTTACTTCAAGACATGTATCTAACACTCATACTCACACCCACACCCACAGTTTCCAAGACATTCTGAGTACAAAAAACTTCTTATCGTATATACTTTTCCGCATTGTCTTAAAAGTGAAACGTTACAAGAAGCAAACCGATTATTTCTTGTCATTGATTCAAACGACTAGAATAGACGCTAAAGATATATACAATAAATTTGACGCACAGACATAGATAAAAATAAAGTCAACTATAATTAGAATATATTTACACAGTACAGCTAATAAAACTGATTCGTATTGTAAACATGAAAATTTTACTCAATTATTTGTTATGGATAGTTATTAATTCGTTTAGATTGCATTTGTCGAGCAGGAACAGGAGCGATGCGTTGAGAAAGTAAAAATATGTTACCATGTTGTTGATGTCTTAAAAATTTTCTCCATCTGCAATAGAAGAGAGCTCGAAGTTCTTGACGAAAGAGTCGAGCAGTAAGCGCATAGACAATGCAAGATAAGCCATTATTGACATAGACTAAGAAAGTAAAACAAACAGAGAGAAGAGCCTCCAGATCACGTCTCCATTGTGATTTGCTCCAATTAAGACTGACACCAGTATAGACACCCCATGCTGAAAATGGCATAGTCAACGCAACAAAGGACACTACCTATAAAGAGAAACAGTTACTATATTAGATATGACGTAAACTTTTCTTACTTGGACAAGAAGCATGCGAAGAAGTTGAGCATTAAGTGATTGATGTGAAATGTGTGGTTGAATACGTATTCCATTTCTGCTAGCCGCATTAACCATTATTCTCTTTGTCTTCTTCACATTTGAAATGGTGAGTAAAGCAAAGATAATATAGAGAATGGGTGTCATAAATGCATAGACAGCCATAATATAGCCGTAGAGAAAGAGTATATAAACATATGAGAGAATTGTGCATAGACCGATTCCAAAGAACGTTACTTCGATTATAATATGAGTGTGAACAATACAACAGACTAATGTAGTTATGACTATAACCCATTTGGCTATTTTGAATTGACTAAGTCGACGAATATGAACTCGTTGATGAGTGGAACAATATCGATCGATGCATGCAATGAGAATAAACCAAGAAGCAAGAAAGAGTGTACCGTAATAAATATATGGTATAAGTTTACAAAGAAAAGAAGATCGGCTGAGAATATTTATACCAAAACCCTTGTTAAGGCCACTGAGGATGAGACCGAGGAAGAGAAACGTTGCATTGCTAATACTCGCAGCAAGTAAATAAAGAGAGCACGAATTTTTTCGTAGTTTCGGTCGAGAAAGTACAAGAACACTCAATATATTACTTGTCTGACCGGCTACTAGCAGTGCTATCATGGGCCATCGTGTCAATTGTACTGTTGCTTCATTCATCTTCTGACTTTCAACGTGTTTGAATGAAGGAAAGATAAAAAAAGGCTATTGATCCTCACGTCATATTTTTCTCAGCTTAATCCTTAAGACATTTCATTTTCCACTAAAATGATGGCTGCTAATTGACTATTGACGTCATTTGAAAATACTCGAGATTTAAGAGCATGCAATAAGGTGGATAAATGATCTAAAAAATATTCTTCGTCGTTGAATTTGTTGCACTTGACTTTGGAATTTAGTTGAGATTGGAATCACTTAGTTGACTGTGTTTGTGTAAAATCTTTTCCAATACATTGTCAAGAAAACTTGTTTGTTTCTTGTAAAATTTACATTTACTATTACTTCTCGGACAATAAAAATTATCTTCATACTGTTAGTTTGTTTTTAAGAGCCATTAGTCATTCTATTTATGGTTATCTTGTAAAAGTAAAATTTTCTCCTTATTTTCCTTATGGTTTAGTTTCTATACCGGTGTTTGAAACATGAGGACATTAAACGATTAGGTGAAACGAAATGGATAGTACTTGAGCTATTTGTTTCTATAGAATAGACTTTTTTTTGAAGCTGCAGGGCATCGGAAGAATGAATCATTGGTTGAAACGAAATCGAGCGTACTTCATCTATTTGTTTTTATAAAGTAGTTGTTTTCTTCGATGCTCGTGATATGGGACAACCGAATAATTGACTAAATATTTAATGTTAGCAAATTCGTTGTTAATAACTTGAAATTGAATGAAATATGCTATTTAGAATAACAGTCGATCTGGTTTTTGATTGATTGAGTAATAATTAATTGGGCTATAAATCGTATGTTGATTATCTATTCGATAGACTTATTTTGAGTAAGTTTAAAAATCTAAGATTGTAGTTTAGAATTTAGAATATTCACTTTTTTCTAAGATACCCATATGAAAAAGACAATGTATAAGTTATGTAATTAAAAACAAACAGCCATAGAATGTGTTTCTTGATTGAATGTTCCATAGCATGGAACATCGAACGATTAATTGTAAGAAAATGAATAAAATTGATACAATTCTAATAGTTACTAAATCAGAATGGTTAAAATGAATACTTTTTAGATGTAAATATTTGGAAATAATTCAAAATAAATCATAGAAGTTCGACTAATCATTTAGAATCGCTAAAATTACAAAAGTTGAATACAATAGTAAAACAACATGAATTGTCGTATAACATATACTATTAACATTTATTCTAAATTCAACTGAATTTCCGTGCCAACTATAACTTAATAATATATGGACAAGCCAATTTGAATGTAAAGCAGAAAGAAAAGATGAAAGAACGAAAAAATAGATCGTTCAGTGAGAGATCGACAGAACGAAAAGAACACAGCTATTTTTGCGGGAAATCGTTCTTTAAAAATTTTTGTTGGGAACTTGGGTATACCCCTCCGAGATAATTACAGATTCTTGCTCAGTTTATTACGCTTTTACCAATGATATAATTTTTATTTTGTATGCATGAAATAAAATTTTCTGAGGGGGTTGATATGATTGTACCTCATTGTGAAATTACATCAAGTATAAATTTTAGCCGAAATACAATTGATTCAATTAACAATAAATGAAATTGAGACGAAAATTTTACGCTTGATACCACGATTATTATTGGCAGATCAATTACTTCATGCTTTCTTTTAGGAAGGACGATGGGTGGTAATTCAAGAAGATAAAGACAATAAACTATGTCATCTTTTTTTTTTATTTTAAAAGTTAACGTTTTCTGCTTTTTATTCTCATTTTTCTCATGTTACAAAATTTCGTCGTTGTGTAATTTCAGCAGCAAGTTCGATGGCTTCTTCTGTAATTTGATCAACTTGTTGTTGATGAGCTAGTGCTTGTACTTCTTTAAAAACAGTCATTTTTTGTTGATTAGCTGCATCTTGTAACAACTCAATATCTTGTCTTGCTTTAAGTAAAATAGCTTCTAGATGTTCATTTAAAGCTCGTTCAAATTCAGTTAATAAAACAGCTTTATCTGAATCTAATAGAACAATACATTCTTGTAAACATTGTTTCTATTCAAGTTCAGTTGCAGCTGAACTTTCATTTGCTTCAGATAATTGTTGTTGTTGAGCTGCTGTATCAGCAACAGCTTTATCAATTGCACTTGATGCAGTTTCACTCATTTAAGCAGTACGTTTTTTAGAATATTCATCGATTTGACTATGAGTTGTTGCTTTATTTGGAAAACAAAATAAATAAACAATTTTTTTTTAATTATAAAAATAAAATTCAGTAAGTTTATTCATAAGATCTGTAATTTCTTTTAAATTTTGTATATTAATATTTGTATTTGTTTCAGTTGATACAATTGATCGAACAAGAACATCTTTACTAACCAGGGTTACCATCTGATAAGGTTTCAAATGGGGTACAAAATTTTCCTAAATGGGGTATACAATGTTGTTTTCAAAATTCAAGATTGTGATATAAAAAAACCTACTGATAGAAGCGTATCGTTTGCTGAAAGAGTTCATATTGAGCTTTCTTCATGCGAGGAACGCTCTAAAATGTTTATTTTTCGCAACAAATAAGCCCATGACTAAAGCGATTTCTAGTACAAATCAGCTTTACTGAACAAAACAAAAATACTCGATTAAAACAAACGCTATAACTATTCAAATTAGCTAATTAACTGACACAAGTCTTGATACATGAGTGGTGACTTGAAATGATAAACTTTGGGATAGAGAATCAAAGATTCACAATAGAGCTGGTGTAGTATTTTCCAGTAGTCTAAAAATTTATCAAAGTCTTGTTGTTTTCAATCAAAATTTTATGCAAAAAGGTGGACTATGGAAGAAGTAAATAATTTGCACTAAAACATGGTTCATTTGTCGTCAATTGAGAATTTTTTTTGTAAACTCCTATAAAATCGATGTGTTGTTTTGAAACCTGCTCGGAAAAAGGCATTCTACGTTCAAGTAAAAAATTTTGAAGAAAAACAAAATGAAAAGGTCGTTTCATTGATTATGTTAATGCAGATGTTAGTTTTCGCGAAGCAAAATGTTTTGACCGATTCTTCAAAAATCCTGTCTTATTCTAGCGTCTTTTTGAAAAGAAAAGCTTCCTACCATTTAACTCGGAAATTTTGTTATATGGTTTTGCTGCCGAAGACGGCTGTTCTAGTTGGAATTATTCAAAGTGAGGATGCTCAAAAACAAGTAAAAGCAACATTTAGAACAAAAAACAAAAATTTGCAAATTTTAAAGTGAGTTCCGTTGGTGTAGTTGTTGAAAATTTACGAAGTGAAAATGTTCAAGTTCGTTTGAAATTTTCTCGTTAAAAGTTATCATTTGATGTCAGATTTCGCCAAAGAAAGTAATTGAACTCTTTATATTGTTGGAAAGATCCTCTTCCAATAATGATCAAGCGGAAATTTTCAACTGTTAAGGAAGGAATACACGAATTAAAAAACTTCCATCTAAATAAACATTGAATATTTCTATAAAATTACTTCTTACGTAACTCAAAATAATCTAATCTCTTTTCCTGATTAATAAATCAGTTTTATGTTATCTTCATTCAAATTCTCTAACAGATATATTATATCGTCAATGTGTTTTTTTTTATCTTGACCATTGATTTTATACTATAGATTATCTACTTTAAGAATCACAGAATTTCAATCGAAGACATTATAAAACAGTATTTGAATTTTCTTACAGGTGATGTCGTTTCTTTCAAGGAGACTAAAGCAAGACAGTCTACAACGATGTACAACTGAAGTGTACTATACTGTACTCCATTTGTCCATTACCTGTACTTCGGAGTGCGAAGTCTCTCTTTTCCGCTCTTGATTTATTTTGAATTTTCTTCAAATTGCTATTTATTGATAAATATTATTAGCGAAACTATTATATCAATAAAATATCCGTCATAAATCAAATTCTGATTGTGTAAAGTATATATTCAGATAAATTATTTTAGTATTTTCATATAATTAATCATTGAAAGAATTGAAGAAAATATCTTATCAGTAAAGAGATCTCGAGCCGCTTCTAATGCAAGATCACATAAACCAAGACCATGTAAAACAGAATAATTTGTTGCAAGAAGAATACATTCCATATATAATGATTCAATATTGAGCTATTCGAGTTTATGATGAATTTTAGGTAAAACTTCAGAACAAAACCGATCAAGTCTTGTATCAGTAAATTCATTTAAGCCGTTGAAAGGTGTCATTACCCAGGTCGACGATTCCTGAACCAGTATTCCGTGAATTTCCGGCGAAGATCCGCAGAAAACACACAGCTTCTGGCCGAAACCTGCGAGAAAATGCCAGAAATTCGACGCAGGAATCCGGTGATCGTATCCGGCTGCCAGTTTTGCTAAGTTCCTGTTGGTTCCATCCGGAATCGGATAAATTCGGTCACCGGATCCGTTCATCGGAATACTCCTTCCATGTTCCGTCGATTTTCGATGTTTTCCTGTGGGAACCAGCCCGTATTTCTCGACCTGGGTAATGTTAAATATGTTGTAAAAATTGAATCTTGCATAATAGTAGCAATCGTTTATTAAGACCTATTAAAGAATAGAGCACATAAGAATTGTGCAATTTTTTTCAAAATAGTCATAAGAATTTCATCAGATAAATCGTTCAGTTAAATAATTGAAACTTCCATGTTTATTTTCACGTATGCTCTTTTTCTGCATTGCTTGTATATATATATAACGGGTAGACCATAAAGAATTATACTGTCATTATTTTTAAGACTTCTCCTATATTATCCCTGTGATTAAATAACTTTTTTTATCAAAAGATAGCGCTTGAAATTCTCTACAAAACCACACATGACTAGATCCTAAAACTGTTTTAGATATATTTGAAAAAAGATGAAAAATAAAGATACAAAAAGCTGTAAAAAGTAACTGGTTGGACATAATGAATGGCAGCGCTTTGCATCTAATGTTTTTATCACTTTGCTCTATTAAAAAACAAAATATACCAAAAGATGCAGCGTGAAAAGCTCTACAATTTACAAAGAACAAATTATATAAAACGAGGCATAAGTAAAAGCGAATTCATCTTGTACCACCAAAATATATCATTTTCGCACGGTCGAAATTTGATCACTCAAAACTTTGTCCATTTTGAAAACAAATAGTGCAACTATAAAATAGGCGATCTTATGTAAATTATAGAGCTTTTCACGCTGCATCTTTTAGTATATTTTGGTTTTCTAATAGGGCGAAATAAGTGATGGAAAAATGGGATACAAAGCGCACCATTCATTATGGCCAACCCATTACTTTTTACAGCGTTTTGTATGTCTTTATTTTTCATCTTTTTCGAATATATCTGAAACAGTTTTAGGTAGCGGCGTAACCAGAATTTTGACGGTGGTGGGGGTAATGGGGCTCAGCTGCTGAAATTCTGCTCAATGGTGGGGCTTGAAATGGACTTTGGCTGGAGCAAGTTTCTTGGGTGGTGGAGCTGAGCCTCACCTGGTCATGCCCTGGTTACGCCACTAGTTTTAGGGTCTAGTCATATGCGATTTTGTAGAGAATTTCCAGCACTATCTTCTGATTAAAAAAAGTTATTTAATTACAGGGATAATAGAGGATAAGTCTTAATAATACTGACAGTATAATTCTTTATGGTCTACACGTTATATACATATACTAATGTCTTCAATCTGACTAATATCGTCAATGCAAAGAATGATATATTTTTGTACAGTCTAAACTGCCGATCAATGAATGAATAATCAATCGAAGAATATCCATTTCCGTCTCTTTTATTCAATATTTAGTTGCATATATGCCGATAAAAACAATCAATAAATCTTTTTATTTTTGATAATGTCGAATTTTTTTTTTGAAATACCCATGTTTATTGTTACGGCCAAGGACGCTCACAACTTAATATCAAGTGCAAAATTGTTGTATTTTAAATGTTAAGTAGATATTTCGAAAGAGGAAATTGAGGTTCTTTTGATCTATCGGTCGAGATCTCTCTATCGAGAATCATAAGTTTATGTTTTCTAAAGAAAACATTGACATCTGTTATTAAATTATAAATTTCACATCAATATGGTATTTGTCTTGGTATATTCACACAGTCAGAACTGCTTCCTTCCTTTTAATTATCTATTTACCATCTGACGAGCATATGACATAAAAACCAGTAAATACACAAGTAACATTTATCGATTCTCGATTCACTGCAACCTAGATTGAGGGAAGACAGATATGCACACAACTGCTTCCTGATTATAAATGTACTATTCCTAAGTACTAAATAAATTCGAGAGACTATTTCACATGAAACAGCAACCATTTCACAAAGCTAGTTTTTCGTAATATAAAACTTGACTCTTATGTTTATAAAGAGAAACTGATCTTTACTATTCTAATCTGTGTTTCATATTGTTCTTAGTATTCTATTTTTTATGTCCAATGACAATTAAGTATATTGAATGAATAATTTTTTCTTGTATATTCATGCATGTCGAATTACTGGAGTTCTATTCATCGTAGACAGCCATAAAATCATACAGGATATTCCAAACGTCCACCGGGAAAATAAATTTGTATAACTTCACTATTTATCAATGTTAATGAACTAGTTTTTTTTTCAAATGATAGGTATCACTGTGAAGTTGTTTTTTGAGACGAACAAACTTCGTAAATACTGTTCAAAGTTATTATTTTCGACCGAAGTATAAAAAGCAGTCGTTTTACAATTGGCAAAAAATCACTACACAGTGTTTCTCTCTTATTGCTTCAGTTTCTTGAGTTTTTGTGGCATTTATGATGGGTTAGATCTTGCGCTATCGTTTCTATGCATTTGTTTTCATATGTCACTATAAGAAGAAGCCTAGTGGTGAAAAGTCTGGTGACTATGAAGCTGATAAGAATGGTTCACTTCTTCCTGTTCACTACGCATCGTTCAGCAACATGAAACGATTTCATGAGCTTTGTGAAAAGTGAACTTTACATTATTGAACTTCTTCTTATAGTGACATATGAAAACAAATGCATAGAAACGATAGCACAAGATCTGACCCATTATAAACGCCACAAAAAACTCAAGAAACTGGAGCATTAAAAGGGAAACACTGTAGTGATTTTTTAGCAATCGAAAAATGATTACTTTTGGTACTTCAGTCGAAAGTAA